TACCTTATTTGAGCCCTAATTTATACCGTTAATTGACTCTCCCTACTCTAGGGGGTCTCTCCCAGATTTTATGTATGAATTGATTGGTTAAATCCCTCCAATTAACTGGTTGATTTATTTGATTATCCTTATTTTATGAACTATGATTCACTCTTTACCTTATTTGTTTTTACCTCACTAAGTGCTATATATACTCTCATTCTGATTCTTCTAAAGAGACGAACAACAGTTCAGAAACACACACACAAACTTTGCTCTCACTAAAACATTTCTGCTACTTGTGTTCACTACATTGTCTAGCCAGCTGAAAGCCAAGGCCAGATCACTGAATTCTGCACACATTCACCTTCTGTTTTGCTATCTTTAACTGGTATGTTTCAATTCCTAATGCCATTGATCATGTTATGAAGCTTAAACCTATGAGCTTTCTTGTCTGTTGCTTTACTTCTGTTGAATCCATGACTTTTCTGTATTTCAATTAGCATAACTACTTATGGACCTCAACTAGTATGGCTACTTTGTGTGATTGAATCTTTGTGGTTCTTCCTGTATTCTTCAGCATGATTGCCTCTCTATCCAGACTTATGTCTCACTGTGTTTAGCAAGCATGTTTATTGCAGTGCTTAAGTCTTGTGTGTTCTTAAATAGCATGCTTATCACTAAAGTATGATTATAATTTAGACCTTAAATCAGTAATCCCACCTGCTCTATTAACTAACATGAGTGCCTTCACCCTTCTTCTTATGTGCTCCTGTTTCAAGTGTCTTGTGTTCCCAACCCCTGCTCCCTTTTGTGTAACTGTTTGTACATCTAGAACTAATTGACAAAGTGAAGTTGAAACTGGGCAATGTGATGCTTTTGTGACCATGATGTTTTTTGCAGAACCTTCCTTTCCCTCAAAATGTTTTCAACATGTTTTTCACTCCTAATATGTTTCTCCAAACTATTACTACTCCTAAAGATTTTACCTCTCTACTGCTTTCAAAAAAATCAACTATGTCAAGCACTCTCACTTCTACTCTTAGATTACTTAATTTTCTTCCCCTCCAGTGTGTGTACTGTCTAGGAATCCATGAGATTCCTCCGAACTCTGGCACACTGGGGCTGGCCCTTCCACATTGCACATAACTACTCTTCCATTTAAAAGGATCTTGGTGTGAGCATTTCATGGGGTCCCTGAGGCCCTTGGGAACATTGACGCACCAGGATACCATTATTGGAAATCATGAGACTGTGGCATCTGGGACTGTTTGAAGGCCTGGTATTTCCAGGTTCACTTTGGGCCTATTTCAGGCTCCCTATAGTATATCTTTTATTCATTATGTAATTCATTTATGGTCTGTAATAATAATCCTTGTAAACAGATATTGGGGAAATTAGTAAAAGAGAAAGGGATTCTTATATGATTTTTGTGAGGGAAATCAGGTAGAAATCATGCCTTTAGGTCTACTATACTTACTTGCATTATGCCTTAGATCTGTTATGTTTACTTGTATTAGAAATCATGCCTTTAGGTTTACTATGCTTACTTGCATTAGAAATCATGTCTTAGGTCTGGTATGCTTACTTGCATTAGATATCATGCCTTAGGTTTATTATGTTTACTTGCTTTAGAAACCATGCTTTTAGGATTGTTTGGCATACTAGAAAACATATTATAGGCTCATCACCTCATTTGTTACAAAATTCTGCTTCTGCATAATCATGATCACCTTGAAATTTTGTTATTAAATTACTTCTATAATCCTGCTTAACAAAAACGTCCATTTGTTATGTGCATTAGAGAACCTGCTTTAGGACTGTTATTGCATTCACTTTAAAATCATGTCTACATCGCATAAATCAGTAACTATCCTGTTTAAAAGCAATCCCAACACCTAGATATCATGTTCTAGGATTAAATGTATGTAAACCAGCTCTGTGATGTTCAACACCTAGACCAGCGTGCCTATAGGACTTAATAAGTTCAAAACTGTTTGTTTTAAATTGATCCCGATTACATTTTAGACAGCATGTTTAATAGAGTATCTCCGCCTAGGCAAGCCTGTAGGTAATTAAAATCTTATAAAAACTGAAAACTATGATGTGCTTATTTGTGAACTGCCTAGTCGATAGATTCTAAAATCAGTAGGCAAACGGATTACGTCTTTACCGCTTTGCCTTAACTCAATGCTGCATATTCTCTGCTTGTCATGCCTACCTAGATATCCTATTCTAGGACCTCTCTGAAACATCTGAAATTTGCTGTTTCAGACGTGCACTTGCTTGCTCTATTTGTGGAGGTAAAATGTGAGCCTTTTAACTGTTCTATCTCTGGTACAGTCCTACGTGTTTTGTTTGTCGCCTAGAATTTTTTCCTTTTAATTACTGTAGGAGAGTCTAGATCCACCTCAACTAGAAGTCCTAAATACCTCCGGGACTGTATAAGTAAAGGGATGGGTAATGCACGCATAGGATACATCTTAAGGTTGTTAGAACGCTTTAGGCTATGACCAAGGGGAGGGTAATTGGGTAGTAAAGGATATGATGACATGTGCGCTAATGCCACATGTAACCCCTCTATTTGAGGAAGGCTTACCGGGTATTGTACAGATGTGATCATATAGGCCAACAAACCTAGAACCCCCTTTACCCCGTTTAAATAAAGTTTATGTGTTTATGCGCTTTGTTTCTTTAATAACTAATTCACATAATTTGAGTTCAGCCGGGACACACCATTGTGGACCGCGAGGGGTGCCTAACACCTTCCCCTCAAGGTTATTTCGAGCCCTTACTCAAGTCTCTGGTAATGGAAACCGGTTTCATGAGTTACTTGCTTTAGGTGCCCTAACATGCCTTAAATCTGTTAGGTGGCGACTCTTCAAAATTCAAATACCCAATTCTTAAAAGGAAATGAGTTGTTCCCAATGAATGTCGAAACCCGGACTCCGCGAGGAAAAAGGAGGGGCGACAACCGCATGTGCGAAAGGTCATGCGCAGGTGTGGTTTTTAGGGACTTAAGTGGAAACCGCAGAAGCGGTTATTTGGCCGCAGAAGCGGTACCGCGGGTGCGGTAAATAGACCGCAGGTGCGAAAACCCTGGGCCAGAAAGTATATAAGCCCTCCTTCGCGAATTTTTGGTCATTCCACCATTTTCACATACGAGTTTGAGCTTAGGAGAGCAAACTGAAGAGGAAATTCAAGAGGGTTTCGTGGAGGTAAGGTTTTTGGACCCTAAACTTGTTTTTATGATGGTTTTTAACTGTTTAAGCCTGAAATTTGTGGTAATTAGTGGTTATAATTGGGGGTTTAGGGTTTGGAAATTGGAGACCTAAATTTAGGGATTTGAGGGGTCATTTATGGTCAGATTTTGGTATTCTTGGTATGCATGGACTCGTGGGAGGATAAGGGTTATATTGACGTGATTTTTATCGGATTCCGAGACGCAGACCCGGTGGTCGGGTTTGGCCAATTTCGGGATTTGTGTTGTAATTTGATTATTTTCGCTCGGGCTTCGTTCCCTTAGCATATTCTAATGTTATGATTCTGATTTTTGGGTAGACTCGACGTGAGTTGAGGCCGAGTCGAGAGGCAAGGGCGTCGTGGAGTAGTATTTCATCCGGTTTGAGGTAAGTAACGATTGTACATTTGGACTGAGGGTATGAAACCCCGGTATTTCGTACTATTTTGATAAATGAGGTGATGCACATGCTAGGTGATGGGCGTGTGGGCGTGCACCCATAGAGATTGTGACTTGGTACGTCCCGTGGCGACTGTATAGTTGCGTATTTTGATATATTGTATATGATATCCTTGTGTTCTAGAAATTATTTTGTAATTTGGGTTGGATGTTATGTTTGGGGCCTTTGTGCCGAACTGTTTAGACCCTTCGAGGTGTTTTACTGATTTTCCTCACACTGTTTGATTTGAAAGCATAACCTCAGTCATGTTTACCTGTTATTTGTTAAATCCGGTTTCATTACTCTACTAATTCAAAAACTGTTTGGGCAGAGTTCCCTGATTTTCACTGAAATGCCCGAGTGGCTGTGAGGTTAATGACTGAGAGAGAGGTCGAGGACCGGATGTTGAGGACTATATTATATATATGGATCAGGATGCACGCCGCAGCGATATATAGATATATATTGGATCGGGCTGCGCACCGTAGCGATATGATGCTTGGGTTGAAGGAGCCCCTCCGGAGTCTGTACACCCCCAGTGGGCGTAGTCGACTATATATATTGGATCAGGCTGCGCGCCGCAACGATTTTATATATATATATATACATATATATATATATATATATATTGGAGCGAGCTGCACGTCGCAGCGATTATTATTATTATTACTACTATGAGCTAATTATTGAGCCGGAATGCTGAGAGTGGGTACTGTGTGACGAGAGCTGAGTCACGAGTGACTGAGAGGCTTTCCCGAGGGGCTATACTTGTGAGTGATATATTGACCGGGGGGGCTGTTTATGATATTTACTGTTTTCACTCTTCTTTTATACAATCAAAGACTTTGATTTATACTGGAGATTTTACGAGTAAATTGACTATAGAACTGCAGACTTTTGACTTGATATTTCTATTGAGATTTTATGATATGTGATCTTAAATGCTCATCACTGCACTCAGACTTTGTGTACTTTAGTTACTTACTGAGTTGACGTGCTCACGTTACTCCCTGCACCTTGTGTGCAGATCCAGGTTCCCGAGCATCAGAGTGAGAGCTTCTAGTACTCTCAGAGCATCATTTGGAGATCGCAAGGTAGCTGCACGGCGTTCGCAGCCCTGCTTTCCTCCTTCCTATCTTAGTATTCTGTTATTTCAGACTTATGATGCATAACCAAATGCTCTTCCCTCTTTGGAAAACTAGAATTTGCGACTACCAACTCAAAAGCCATAGCGAAATCCAACAGAGAAGTGCCTCTTCCGTTCCTATCCCCAAAGTTGAAGCCACCGTGCACCTCTCCATAACCCCCAGAAGACGACCCAATATGACCATTGAAATCCCCTCATATAAATAACTTCTCCTTAGGCGGAATACCCCGCACCACCTCAACCAACCCCTCCCAGAAGCGCCTCTTAACTTCCTCGTCCAGGCCCGCTTGCGGCACATAAGCGCTAACGACATTTAGAGTTCTCCCTCCAACGACTAACTTAATCTCCATCAATCTGTAACTCACCCGCCTAACCTCTACTACTGACTCCCTGATCTCCCTATCCACCAAAATACCTACTCCGTTCTTGCCCTTCACGCGTCCGAAGTACCACAATTGAACCCGTCCGCATTCATCGCTTTCCGATCCTACCCACCTTGTCTCCGAAACACAAGCTATATTGACCTTCCTCTTCTGGATAATCTTCGCCAGCTCTATAGACTTACCCATCAACGTCCCTATATTTCACGATCCAGTCCTCAACCTACAGGCTCCCTTGTTGCCTTTACCCCTTCTGGTCCCCGACCCACCCCTGACCCGTGTCCCACCCCCCCGACTCCGAGGAAATGACCCTACTCTGCCATTACTAACCACAACCGTTATACCTATGGTGGTCAAGACAAAAGATGCAACTACAGACAAGCAAAGGTCTAAACTCGGCAGTAACAAATATTACGCACTATTACAACAATAAATTAACTAATACAGGCGGGAAGAAAATAGGTGGCGGGAGGTACCAATTCTCGCGAATAGAACCCGGATGCTTTGGAACCCGACGTGTAGCCCTTGTGACTGCCAAACGGCCTAGAATTTATTTAATGACAAGTAAAATAAAGGCCGACATTACTTTACAATGGAAAGGAGCACATTTTCTCCACAATAGTATGTAGATTCCTTTTTTTTCTTAGTATAATATTTTCTCTATTATTTTACTGTATTAAGTAACATAATGTCTTATTTATAAATGAAAACAGACGATATATTATTCTCAATTGCTTAATGATTATAAAAGGTTAAATCAAGATATAATCATAGTTGGAATAATATTGTTATTAACTATTTTCATACTAATTATACATTATATTAAAATTAAGAAATATAGTTTAAGATGAATAAATAGGGTCTATTTACTTATTTTCCTAAGTGTATGATGGGAATAACTAGGGTCATTTACTTATTTTTTTAATATTTTAAGACCTTAAAATTAATATATTTTTATTTAATAGATTTTTCTTACTTGAATTAAAAGTTTGAAATCAATTAAGATTATTTTACTAAATTCTTTTCTTTAGTTAAGCTATAACTATAAAATTCGTGATAAATATCAATGTCAAATGTCTGAGCGTGATAAACCCATTCAAGTGATAAAAGAGAACGTATATCAACAACATCATTTGTGACTAAATGAGATTCAGTTACTTCAACCCAAATATCGTGTCACTAAAATACTATCAACAAATAAATATTAATTAGTTAAGTGAAAAAAATTTATTTTAAAATATATATGCAGATAAAACTAAATATTATACAACGATTTATGCATATATATATATATATATATATATATATATATAGAGAGAGAGAGAGAGAGAGAGAGAGAGAGAGACCTTTATATATTTTTGAGAATTATATCACGCCACGATACACTTCATGTTGGATAAAAGAACAATAATAATAAGAAGTACTGATTTCTTACCTTAACTTTTTTGACAATTATTTTACTAGAAAAAGATTTAGCTGGGTTTAAATAGTACTCATCCAATTAAATGCTTTGTATGATTTATTAAACCAAATAATATAGAGTTTCATATTAGGTACTTGAACAAATAGAATTTATTATAAGGCCATCAAAATAATAATATTGTTGCATGATATTAGAGTATAGACATATTATTCAATTTTGTATGAGCTACTAAATCAATTACACAACTCATATATTAAAGTTATGATAAAGCTTTCGAATACTTTTGTATGACAGGATTTTCTTCCTTTTTAAGTTAGTTAAATAGCATCAATATATATTATTTTTCAAGAGCTTATGCTTTTTAAAATTTTTATTTTATAACTCTATCATATAATTAATAATATTCATGTATATTTTTTAAAATTTTATAATCATTGATAGAAATGCACGCGCAACGCGCGTATCCTAAAACTAGTTTCAATAAAAAAAATCTAAACTAGAGTTTCATAATCCAATCCGGATTACCAGATGTCCACCCCTAAACATAGGCGGATTTAGGATTTGAAGGTGACGGGTGCCATAATTTCTTTTAATGTATACCTTATAATGACTAATATGAAATTTGTTCGGAATATTTATTCGGGTCAACTTAATAAGTATTTTTTATTTGCAAATAAAAAAATTACATCTAAAATATGAAAAAATAGACGTCATTAGCATTTTAAATAAGGAATCATACATTTATTATACCAACACAAGTAAAATCAACATTTTCACTAGGAAATTACATCTTTTTTATATATTAAAAATAAATTTACACAAGTCAGATAACATTTTCAATAAGAGAATTACATCAAGCAGAATAAGAAATTTTTTAAAAATATCTTCAATAGATAAATCATACTCCCCACTATTATAGAATTAAATAAACTACAAGTTCTCAAAAATCAAAATAACAAATCTCATCTTCTTTAGGCAATGCTTACAAAATTTTTGTCATAATTTAATAGTAAAGAGATTTAAATTATATTTAATAACCATATAATAACACAAATTTCTATGATATAATATATAAAAAAAAGATGAAAAAAAATTGATCTCAATCGTAAATTCCCATTAAGACCCAAATTTTTCGAATATGAAAGAAGAAAACTCATAAATTTGAGATTAACAGGAATGCTTATTTTATAAAATTTTATAATTTTGGAATCTCTTTTTTGAGTGTTCGTGTTAGAGATCACATATAAATAATAATAGAATAAAGAAAAAAAATATAAATAAAAAAATGAAACGATAAATAGAAAATTGGGTGGTAGCCGAAAAGTAAAATGATTGGAACAAAAAAATAAATAAAAAGCACATGAAAAAGGAAAGTCGGATAAGGTTCAAGATAATTCCCAACTTGAATGTTACACACAAGAAAATCTTTCAAAAAGATATACTAGCCATGGCACCTTTATCTAATTTACGGCTGCGGGTGGTAAGATCAGATATTTAACCTAATTTAAGAAAATTTCAACGTAGGTATATAAAAAATTTATCATCTTAACGGGTGCCACGCCACCCCATTGTAAAGGGGTGGATCCGCCCCTGCCCCTAAACAGTACAAAGTTTTATTTTGTGCTCAGAGGCAGAGCTTGGATTTCAAGTTTGTGGTTCGGAATTCTAAGCATTTTAAGTTACCGAGTTCTAAATTAGTACTAATAAATTGTTCTAGACCAATACAAAATTTGAACTAAAGCTACTGGGTTTAGTGAACCCATAGCCAGAACACTGGCTTCGCCTCTGTCTATGCTCACTTTCTCTATTACCTCAAACCAAACCACCCCTTAAATTAAAGAAATAAAATAATACAATGCGTGAACTCATGTTTAACGTAAAGTATAAGTTACATTTGTTTATAGTTTCACGTGATTATTTATAGTCAACTACTAACATTAATATTTAACGTAACATTGCAATCCATTATATTAACACTGCATTTAATGCCTGACATGTGTGTATTTATTTATATTGATTCCGAGTTCCGACTTATGATTTATTAAGCATTGAATATGTTTGGTTTTCTTTTTATTTTTTTAAAATATTCTGATATATATTGTATCAACTTTATGTATTAATTTTCTTTCTGATTATGATTTTAATCATGATCTTAAAAAACTCAAGTGTGGAAGCTGCTAGAGTAGTTAATGAGAGAGGGAAGGATTAGAGATCAGTGAGGAAGAGAAGGTCTATATATTTATGTGATATTTCATAAGAACACTTATATTATCTTCAATTTCTGTAAATAATATTGTTTCATATGGCTAAGAAATTTGCTCATTTCTTCACGGTTTTCCTCATGATGACTTCTGGTTATTGACTCTCTCTCTCTCTAATTAGTTAATACCTGTTGTAGTGGCTTTGGTGAATAATGATAGATTAAGGTCATGTCCTCGGTCGAGGCAGCTTGCTGAGGATATGTATGACCCTTGATAGGAGGGTGTGGAGGTCGAAGATTAGGATTATGAGTTAGCTACAAGTCGAGTTTATTTCCTTTCCACACTTGTACTTCCTTCTAGGGTTATGAGTTAGCTACAAGTCGAGTTTATTTCCTTTCCACACTTGTACTTCCTTCCCTAGCTGTAGTACTAGTGTTATCCTTGTGTTCCTTATTTTAAGATCGATATTCTTTTACATGAGGTTCTCTTTGCTTCGTTTTATTTTTCTGGTTGTTGTTACTATTTCGTTTGTCGTAGTTCCCTTTCTTAACTGCTGTGATTTTGTTGTATTGAGCCGAGGGTGTTTCGGAAACAGCCTCTCTACCTTCACAAGGTAGGGGTAAGGACTATGTACACTACTACCCTCCCAACGCCTCGCTTATGGGAAGTATACTGGGTATATGTTGTTGTATCGCTTGCTCTCTAAATTTGTATTAGGTGTGTATCATATATATATATATATATATATATATATGTATTCCCTTTTAAATTGATTTTAGTCATGATCTTGCAGTGTATCTTGCATCGTCCTCAGTAACAAAAGCAATTGCTACGAGAGACAGCTCGAATCATGACATTAGAGGCTTAGAAAGAAAACTAATTTCTCATCCAAATGATGTGACTTGCTGGAGACCATGCGCTTGTGATTCTGAGTGCTCTGATGGTTGGTTTTGTACATTGTGCGAATGGGATATTCTTTTTCGCCAGAAGACGTGTTCTGCTAGCTCCTTCACATTCTAGATAGCAGGTCGAATGTGGCTTTGATTATATTTCTTTTACTATTGTTCTCGTCGTATAAATTTGTGCCTGTTTGAACAAATATTGGAAAGTCTTGCAATGGTAATGGCCTGATCCTTGTCACTAAATCTATCTTCCTTCTACATTTCTGTACTATCAAGCTCGTTTGCTCTTTTACTTTCAATCAATATACAAGTTTCATTGATAACTCTGTAAAATGAAAACAATGCACAATAGATTTCAAATAAGTAATGCCTAAAGCAAATATATATAAACACACAGGATGTCAGTAATAGGAATGCCAAAAGTGAGTAACAAATTTTGTTACAGTACTCACGTCCACATACAAATTCTAAGCAGGCCAACAAGAAGAATGAAGTTGTCATTATGTGAATATGATGATTGATAAGTGCTGCCTGCATGTCTTTTCAAAATCTAATATTGTTGTTATAAGAAACAAAAAAGAGTGGTGGCTTTTCATCATACAACTATATATGTTATGCCTAGAGATATTGATGATATAACTGATGAAGAAGAATCCTAAAGATTCCTTCTACTGCCAAAGACAGAAAGTGATTTCTGGTAATAATCAGAGCGACTTCGATGGTAATCAATCCATATACATAGTTGTCGAATGGCTTCCCTCTTTTCTTCCTTGAGAGCTAACATCCCGTCGTCTTTCTCCTTTATCATTTTCTCCAATTCTCTAACCTTATTGTCTGACTTCCAAACTTTCTCTCTATACACTAATATCTCTGCTTCCTTATCATCTAGCTGTGCAAGTAAGCAATCTAGATCATCTTGGACATGTACTATCGCTTTATTTTTCCTCATAACCCAATCTTTTACAAATTTCAGCTCACAAGATACCTTGGATATTCGATTAAAGAAATGAGCTGTACACTCCTCAAATTTTAGAGCCACTGTATCTAGTGAAGCTAGCGTGTCGTTTGCTGTCAATGATACATCCTTAATCCCTCTAATCCCAAATTGCAAACTTGCATTCTTTTCTTTTAGATCATTATTTTCTTTCTCGTACGAGTCTCTTGTTTTCTGGTACCACTCCTTGTTCTCAAGGTGCATTTGTTCTGCCACGCGGATCCTTCTGCTCAAGATTCTCAAACCGTCTTCAAACTTCTTCCGTAATTCTTCTGTCATTTCTTCTATTTTCCTTTCAGCATTTTGCAAATTGGATTTGGATTCTTCTAACCTGGTCTTCATTTGCTTATGTTCCTCGTTCAATTTGTTAATAGTATCTTCATTTTCTCTTAGTGACTTCTCCTGATCTGTGATCTTCGTTGTCAGTTCAGCGTTTCTCTTTCCCATTTCATTAAGGCTATGAAAGGACTCATGTGTCTCTTTCTCAAGCTGTGACTGTAAATGAATTTTTTCAGTTTCCCCATTTCGCAGCTGCTGTTGAAGCGTGCTATTTCGTGCTGCCAAAGATGCATTCTGACTGGACATATCATTCGCGTACGCCTCATGTTTCTTTTGAAGAGTTGAGAGCTCTTCTTTCTTCTCTAGTAGTTTGGTTTCTAACTCTGTCATCTTATCACTTAGCTCCTCTTTTTCTAACTTTGAACGATAAGCTTCTCGGTTAATATCCCTTATTTCCTTTTCCAAGTCACTCTTTTGGCTGCAGAGTGAATCTATCTCCAATTTCAAGTCTTTTATCTGTACGTTTAAGCCTTCGTTCTCTTTTAATGTTTCGTTCTCAACCAAAGTGGTGCTTGTTAGTTTCTCTTTCAACTTTTTAATCTGGAGATGACATTCCAATAGTTCTTCAGTCTTTTCTTTGAGTGTCAACTCTAGTGCTGATTTACAATGTCTCGAGGTTTCCAACTCCTGCTGCTGAAACTTAACCTTTTCGGTTAAATCCTTAACTTGGACAGCTGCCTCGTGACACTTCTTTTCCAGCGATAACTCCAACTCGTATTTTGTACTGTTTAAGGACTTGAGCTCTTCTTGTGAAAACAACTTATGTTTTAGTTCATTCCTTTCAGTATGTAAAGAGTCTAACTCTTGCTGCAGACTATTTGCTTGTGTCATCAAATCATCAATTTTAGACTTTGAGTTGATCTGATTTTCCTCAAACTTTGTGAGAATATCAGAAAATTGAACTTCTTTCTCTCGAAACGCTGCTTTCAATTCTTGGACATGAGCTTGCAACCCTGTATTACTTTCTTCTAGTTGTTTAATATCGTTCGACTTGCACACAATCTGTTGTTCAAGTTGTTTCTTGTGTACACTTGAGGTTTCAAGTTCAAGCTTCATTATAGCAATTTGATCCTCTAACTTCTTCATCTGAGCCAACCTCTCGCTCTCGTGAACCTCATATTTCTTGGTAAGAGACAAGATTTCTTCTTCTTTTTCTGTTACTCTCTCCTTTAACCAAGCAGACTCATTTACCAACTTCTGCGTCATGCTATTTTCTATCTCTTTGCCTTGATTGCTCGGGTCCTTGAAAAATTCTCCAGACTCCGCTTCTTGACCAGAAGATATTGGTGAATCAGGTAATGAATCCAAATCCAAACTTGCAGTTTCCAAATTTGCAGCATTGGAAAAGTATGAGCTGCCTTCGCCAGCGAATTGCCAAGGGGAATGATATGCTTCTGAATCTGAAACTGAAGAAGACGACGATCCAGCATCATCGTTGTTTGTGGCGCAAAGTTTTATCTTTATTTCCCCTCTCAGATTTTCATACATAGCATAGAGGGACTTGTATTGTTTGTGAAAATCATCGACAAGTTGGATAAGTTCTGATCTTCTCCTTAAGTTCCCTTCTCGACTTCCTTTGTTTATACTCTTGCTCAGCTTTACAATCCTTTTTACTTTGCTTTCAATCTCTGCAATAAACAACAGACTCCTCAAGTTAGGACTTAAGAAGGCAGGCAAAAAGTACAAGTGCTATTTGCAGCCCGGTGCACTAAGCTTTTGCTATGTGAATGGCCGGTCCACAAGGGTCTATTGTATGCAACCTTACCCTACATTTCTGCAAGACGCTGTTTCCACAGCTCGAACCTATGACATGATGAACAACTTACTCTGTACCGACGACCATCCATTTTTTTCACTAAAATCCACAATCTCCTATAATATTCAAAGGACTGAGGCTATTATGAAATGGAACAATTACCTAATTTTATGCATTTCAATTGTTCTTCTTTTTCAGGATCAATATGACTCTGAAAAGCCTTCATGCAACCCTTCAAACGTTGTTTCGCCAATTCTGCTTCCATAATTTCAAGGGGATGTACTGCTTAAGATGCACTACAACAACAGCAACAACAAACCTAGTGAATTCCAACAAGTGAGATGTACGCACACCTTATCCCTACCCTGCTACGATTGACTGCTGGCATCAAAATAGCATCTGCAATAGCCATGAGGAAACGCATATTTAGACGTCTTAAATTCAGAAATAAACAAAACTTTCTTAGCATCCAAACATTCTTAGCCTCAAATAAAACAATTTTCATGCATGCTTAATTCTTACATCATATGCCTAAAACAACATCTTTGTTCTGTGAAAACTGTTAAAAGAGGCAGAAGCGGATGCAGACATATTTACTCGATTCAACTGAACTAGTACTTTTGACACGGAACACTAATATATAGTATGTGAAAGATCATTAAAAATTTTAACAAATACAGTATTAATTTTCAACCCATAATCAAAGACCCATGCACATTCGGATTTGATGCATTAACGTTAGAAAGAAAATGTTCGAAAGCGAGGATTCAATAATTAAATCAACAGAAAAATGCGCGAACGGAAATGAATTTTCAAACGTACAAGAATGGATCTAATCTAATTAGTATGTAAATTCCTGGACGAACATAATAAATTATGTTATATCACTAACTCACTTTGGCCATTAGGCTTATCTAATTTTATTTTTCTTTCTACCTTGTAACGTAGAAAATGTGTTTTTTTTTTAAATCTTTCGGCAAAAAATGCAGAGCACAAAAAAGAAAAAAATTCTTCAAATGCTAACCTGAAAAACTGGAAGAAAAGAGATGAAGAGTTTTGATCTGAAAAGGAATAGAGAGCTTAAAAGGATAAGGGGAAAAAAGGGTGAAATGGTGATTGCAACACATTTGCATTTGTTTTCTTAACATCTGTAGTATCTTGGAGCTGAGGAGGAAATTTCAGTTATACTTTTTCTACCATGAGAATCTATGGCTATTACTTATCACCTGACCCTTTTCCATTTTAATATTACTCATGATTGATCATTTTCCATTATTTGTAATTAGTAATATCTAAATTACTAATTAATGAGATATAGGTTTAGAGTTACTCAATTAGTGGAAGAAACTTAAGTTTTTTTGAGAATTTAAGAGTACCCAAAAGGCTACCCAAAAAAAAAGTAGGAAGAGATAGAGACGTATTTAGAATTTGAAGTTTATGGGTTTTTATGTAGACCTCTAGTTAATATATAATAATAATTGAGTTCATATTTAAATATTTATAAATACAATTAGTCGATTTGTTAATACATAGGATCTTGCCAAAAGTTAGTGAGTTTCACGCAAACATGTAGATTATATTATAATCCACTTCTGGGTAGACAGAGAGAAAAAAAGTAATGAAGGCCAATTAGGGAGTTTTACTTCATATTTGTACTTCTAACAATTTGTAATTCGGATCCTAAAGCATATATCGAACATCGGATAGGAAACAAAAAAATCTCCTTTCTTTCCAAGAACTGACTGTTAAATGATGATTTTATAAATATAATGTTTATTTTTCATTTATCATCACCTTCCTCTATGTAGATCTTTTATTGTGTGATTTTCTTTTCTTTTTGGCAAAATACATAAGTTACCCCCTGAACTACGGACCAAATCCCTCTTACATACTTTTTACGGACAGAAATTATCTTGCACACTTAACATTTCTAAAGTGTAGCTAGTACACATCACTTTTTTCTTGACCAGCTTTTTAAAATATGTGTAATGTCACGCACCAATAAGATCATGACACGTGTCCTAACTCAAGAAAAAAAATACTAAATTTACACCAATTGATAATGTTTAAAAGAAAACAAACAAAAAAGAAACTAACCCTGCTCCCCCACGTTTCTCATCTTCTTCAAACCTCTCATACCCGTCGACTTCCTCC